ATTTTTTGTATTTTTAATACACTGTTTGTGCGTTGAAGCTTCTTTAGCAGTATTGTAGGTTTAGAGGTGTAGGGTTGCTAGCCCTACGCCAAACCCTCCTTCTTTACCCGGGATTGGGACCGGCTAGAAAACTAGCACAAGGCGAGGTTATAAAGTACTGAAGCACTTTGCAAGTTACCTAATTAAGAAAGATATAGATTTTCAGTAAATGTACCTGTTGTTATTAATGAACGCTGTGACATTACTAGCTCAAAATCCACAGAAAATGGAAATTCACATGAACCTTAGTCATTATTACCACAAACGCTTGGATGATTTATCCTCAGCAATTCAAAAGTGTACCTTTCACTTGGATTGACATTACGTCCTGCTGAAGAACCTAAAACTAATTCGAACAGATATACTACTTATTTCAATGTAGACTTTATCACGAACCGATATCAGTTAGAGAACTATTGAATACCAGAGAGTAGTGGACAGCCGTCTCATCCTAGTTTGGGACTTTACAGCAGTGCGCATCCATGATCCACCATCGATCGAATCCAGAAGCATCAGATTACGAGGCCAGCTTGTTGACCGGAATTTTAGCTTTGTCATTTTTGTGATATGGCACTATTGCAAACCACTGCCACCCATGAACATTTTATTTACTTTATTATAGCTTGATTCCACACAGTATTTTTGATACAAGTATGAAATTCTCAGCATGTGATATCGGTAGCCCAAATTTAGCAGGCCGACCATAGATATCAGGTGTGCGTCGGCGGGGGATCGAACCTCGGGCCATGTGCATGGTCGGCGAAAGTCCTAACCGCTGTGCCACTTCGTATTGAAATTTATGCAAATCCCTAAAAGGAATACGATGAAAATTTAAGACAAGAAAGGATAAACTTTGTGTTCATTTCATTATCTGGAAATAATATCAGCCATTCTGCTTTACGGATGGTTTGCTCTTCATTATTTCAAACTTGGAATTGTAATTATTTTTCCATATCAATTTGTTTATTGAATATACCACACAATGAAACATTATTATTTATTGAATGACTTTTCGAACGCAATTCATAGTATTCATAAGCTCATCAGTTGGAGCTACACACCTTCGAAATTAGACTTTTGAAACTCTGACTCTTCTTCTTTCCAATTTGTTATAAGGGCAGTTGAATTTTCAAGATGTCCAAGATAGGTACTGAATGATTACTAGTGCACATGTTCTCCAGCTATCCACCTCTCTCTATATTTTGTAGTATTACATTTTAAGACTGTCACTTTTTCCTATCCTATTGTACGTAACTGCATATAATGCTGTAGCTGAGATTATTTCTAAATACCTTATTTTATTATAATCAAGTAATCTAGATTTGAACTAATGTGGTTAATCAAATATAGTATCAGAGTTCAGGGATGTGAATTAATGGATAATAATCGAGGTGATTATAATAATAATAACAAGGTAAATTCAAGGTTGCAGATACGCCTTGCTGATGAGTACCAACTAGCACGAAACCTAGGTCCAAGGCTTCCTGCCGATTGCCTCCAACCATCTAATACCAACAATTCACAGTGCACCGTAATGGTGACCACCTAGCATGGTGGTCACATTGCAAACATGACTGATAGAATTCAGTCTGCACCGAAGATAGGACTAGACACATTACACTAGTTACTGACTAGTGTGCAATCAAAAAAATAATAAATTCATTCAAGTATTTATATAATCTAGGCAACGGTGATTGTAGAGATAGAATGTATATACTGGTAGAGGTAGAGGGGAAAATAATTATTGTCAAATAGAGATTAGATAATATAATGATAATGGCAGTATTCAGAGGGGTATTTTCTGGAAGAAGTCATAAGTTAGACAATACACCCATTTTAATTCGTTTATTCCTCTTGCATACAAACGAAACCTTATCAGTACCTTGATATATCATGCTAGAAAAATCTGCACAACCAACACTCTAGACGATGAAATAAGGAAAATAGAAAACTTTTTATACGAGAACGGATACCCAGAAAAATTTGTTAAAGTTTCAATGAGGAGAACAGATAGAAAGAAATGCCTGCAAACTGTGCAGAAGAAACGCACATACATGACGTCACCGTTTAAAGGAGACGCAGCAACTGAATTGCTAGCATAAAAAAATAATAGCTAAAACATTCTTCGCCGCAACATTGTGTTTAAAATTCGCCACTCGTTGTATAATCCCAGTGCATGTGAAGGATAAGCTACCGAGTCTGGCCACTTCAATGTGCATTTATAAATTTAACTGTTCATGTGGAAACAGTTATATAGGTAGAACGACCTGGCAAGCCCACCGTCGCCTACTGGAGCACTGTCCAATGTGATTAGGTAGAAGAGTCGTAAAGTCAATCACAAATTCCATACTGGCACACCTAGGGGATACAGAGCACAAGACTGACAGAAATTCAGCTTTTACAATTGTATACAGGGTACCACGTCAACTCCCTAGGTTGGTGCATCTTCGGTTGCTCAGCACTGCTGAGGCAGTTGCAAAAACAGTTTTTCAACCCAATCTCTGTGCTCAGAAAAAGTTTGTTCAATCCCTCTCCCTTCTTTGGCCTTTGTCCCCAACCTAAAATAGTTATCTCTCCCGTAAGGCCGGATAATTGTAAATATTACCTTATAATAGATTAATTGGTGGATGGTGACTAGCAGTGGAATCCAGGATGCGCATTTCATCATATTTGGAACTCGTCATGTGGATGTACCTGCATTCTGCAGTGAGTGATGATGTTCCCACCGGGGCTCGAACCCAGTGCCCATAGTTTCAACCTAGACCACTTGGTCTACTGCTAGTCACCATCAACTATTTAACCTCTAACTACATGCTCAGACATCGTCGAAGCATCTGCACAAGAAGCCGACATGTAAACCTGAGATCGAGCACTTCGGTCCAATCAATCGATGGGAAAATCTAAAATTCAATTAAATAATTATCTTATGTTTTTATTCTATTTTAATCGTAATGCTAAATGTATTATCAATATCATTCTGTGCTGTATTTGTACATTTTATTCTCGGTTTTCAAAATTTATCATTATTCTTATTATTACATTATGTAGTCGCTATGTCACAACAGTTATTTTCGCCCATACTTCTCTCCAGTGTGCACATTCTCATCTAGATTTCGCTAAGCCTTTGTGTTCTGCTAATGAATTTGACCACAGTCTATTACTTTAACCTCAAGACCATTGTAGGATATTAGATAATTGGCTCCACGAGATCCGTTAACGGACATAATTTGTTTCTGAGTGAATTTGTAGGTTCAAATGTCGCCTTTCTTCTGGCTTTGTTAAGAATTCTACGTAAGGTTTCAGAGGTTCCCTCTTTGTACGGCAGCACCACTGATACTTTAAACCCATCATTCAGGAAAAAACTCGACTATAGGATTAAGTGCAAATATGCACAAACCAACAAACAGGGTTGGACAAGGTGACCGTATTAAAATCTAATGTAATAGGCTGGAGGAAGAGATTGATAACTGGAGCTTTATTTATCGAACAAAACCTGAGAATGCATGCAGTAGGAATGATTCAACACCTATCCTGGACATCTAGAAAACCCTACTACTTTTATGACAAGTAGGAAAGGAGAATGACGACTATAATAATCATAATAAAGTTTCGGATTTATGTAATTACAATTAATATGAATTATGAACACGGTGAACTGTGTTCGAAACATCATCTCGTAAGTAGTACTGTTTCCCTGTGTGAGACACCCAATAAACAAATTGTAATGGAATTATATACTACCACAGTAGCCAAGTTTTACACATATAACAAAAATGTAACACCTCTTTCGTGTTTATTCTTCAGTAGCTTTTTCAGTGACACGTGCATTATCATCGTTTGTATGGCGAAAACTTAGTTAAACATACTACTTATACGTATTAGTAAGTAGAGCCCAAAACAATACCAGTAAGTTAAAAATTAGTTAATGCGTCCCCTATAACTGACTGACTATGAACAAAAGTTTCGTTCAGGATTTTGCATCACAATCACGTAGAAAACTCCCAAAAGCATACAGTTACTGTTCTTGATAGCTATTAGAATTACATGAATGGACATTTTACTCACTATAAACCCTTGTTGAGTGAACACAGAACTTGGCTGAGACGAATCCACGAAAACAAAGAGAAAATCACAAATGCTATCGTCTTTAGTGGTGACGTAATTCCGTCAGTCAAGTTGGCAATAAGGTCATCAACCTAGAAGACTAGTAATTTCGGTGTTCTCTGAGTTGATTTTAAATGACTGGATACGATCACTTCACTAAGAAGTTGTGCGTTTCGAACTTAATAAGACTCATCGGTGGGGGCCCATCTGTCACGTTCAAATCTAAGTCATGCAAAGCTGCAATCAGTTGTGATACAGATAACCGATTTCAGCAGTAATCAACCTTCTGTAGAGTTGTGATGATCTGATATCTAGACTAAATATTCGATCCATATTTCAGATATATTATAAATTAAACACTGAGTATATTATATAACGCCATATCTTTTCCTGTTTTTCAGTTTTTACTCAATCTAGTGACTTTCCAGCATGCACTTTGTTCAATTCTCTGTTACACCTTTTTTCTAAGTACTAATATGGTGAAGGTAAATATTTCAAATCGGTATACAATTTTGAATCGAGAACAATTAAAAGTTAACTACAAGTGTGTGTGTGTGTGTGTGTGCGAATAACAACACAGACTATTCTACTATACGGACATACAGATTTCATATTGCATTCAGCTTTAAGCAAATAATGTGAACAGCGTATGTTATTCCAATTGTTCCGAAGTATAAAAGCGTTTCCACAGTATTTACCTTAGACAAAATACAAACATAAATGACGTGTTTATGATAGTGAGTTATTATTATTATTACTTTTTTATCAACTGATATTGTATTATAAACAATAGATGTGAAAATAATAGACAAAATGTACATCATAGTGAATAACATTGGATAATTCTGTGTAACTTTTAAGAACAGATAATAATAATAATAATAAACAGCGTCTTTTTTATCAAGCAACAAACGAACAACCAACTTAATTTTGAATGTACATTTATAGATGTATAACTAGTTCAGATAAACAAATATACATCAAAGAAAAGGTTGAACATTGAATATATGATTTAAAAAGGGTTTCACTAGTTTTAGAAAGGAGACAGAGTAATGATTAATTACACGTATGTATATGATACAACAAGGTGACTATGTAACAAACCAATTAACATTACAATGTTCAACGATACATGTATTATATTATATCATATTTAAGTTTCTGTAGAGACGAAAGACTAACGAGCCAGACAGCATAAAACAAAAAAAGTCAGAAAGAAAACACCGGAACAAGGAGAAAAGAAACGCGCAGTGATATCAATTCAGAGGAATAAACTTTTGTTCTTCTGTGGAACATCACATACACACACGGATATCTCAACTATTTGTTAACCGCTTACTTATGCATAGAAACAGAACGAAAAAAGCGGTGCCAATTAAATCGCCTAAGCCCGTAGTCATGGCTATAGCGGAGAAATCCAGCGATGCTAGGGATATAGGAGTGTTAGTAGCATTACTATTAGAATCGAGTTGTTTAGCAAGACTGTACTTTTTCCAGAGTTTTAAAACAATCCATTTGGCAAATTTAAGTAGTATGCATATCTAGAAAAATAGGGGAAAATAGAACAAAGTAAAAAGCAAAAAGAACAACTCCATAATGATTAGTTGGTTGAATGATAAGACAGCAAAATAATGAATGTACCAGGGGATTTTTCAAGTTTAAAAGCAGGACAGTGTGACTGAAGATTTAAAAATTAATCTAATGCACACCAGTTACTTTTTTTTTTGATTTACAGCTTGATTCCACACCGTATTTTCAGTACAAGTATGGAATTTTCAGCATGGATATCGGTAGCCCAAATTCAGGCCGACCATAGATATCGGGTGTGCGCCGGCAGGGGATCGAACCCCGGACCATGTGCATGGTCGGCGAGAGTCCTAACCACTGTGCCACCGACGCTGACTATAGGATGAAGTTGTTTGGAGTTCTAGTGGAAAGTGGTCATCAAAGAGGTTACGCCAAGTTGGATGCGACGACATGTACTCACCGATGAGAAATTAGAATTGATGGACCACTGGTTCTCATCCCGGTGGCTGAATGGTATACGAGTCCTTATTAAATGCTTGAAGGTAATTGGCAGGGAGCCTTGGACCTAGGTTTCGTGTTTGCTGGCACTCACTGGTCAGCAAGGCTTATCCACAGTCTTGAAGGAACTCATGTCCCCCCCTGAGATTTGAAGCCACATCACCCAGTCCTACAGACAGAGACAATAGTATTGAGCTGTTCGGGTGCGCGATTGACCTCCTATATACTTTGATTGGGCACCGGTGTTATGCGTTTAGTCCTTTGTTCGATGCAGATCAAATTTTATCAGTCAAGTTTGCAATGTGGCCACTATCTACCAACAACAATCCAGAGTGCACCGTGATGGCAAGCCACCTAGCATGGCGACCCCATTGCAAACTTGACTGACAGAATTCAGTCTGCACCACAGAGGGGACTGCACGCATGACAGTGGTTACTACCTACTGTCCAATGAAGGTTTAAGAGTCTACACTGAAACCTGAGGGTCTTGCGTTCAATCCTCGCCAAGGTCACAGGTGTGTACAGATGAAGAGTTCCAAACAAGGATGAAACACCTGTTCAGTACTGGTTTTCGCTGGTTCTCTAACTGGAAATCAATGAATTCCCTGCAAATCAACATTTGAAAATCGAAAACAATCAATACATCAAATTAAAAGTCATTTGCAAACGTAAACAATAATTAATTAACTAATTAAGTTTTAGACTTGACCAATCATTATTGTAAACGAAATTCACTTAGGAAAAAACTGTTTTTCACAATAACGACCAATTTGACACCTAACTGACATTATTCACAATATGAAGTTTAACTGTTAACCGTCAACTATTATTTTCATAATATTGCAAAGAATAATTTTCACATTCAGATGTGTTTTAGGGTGTGATATTGAGTAGAAAAAAATTGGCATTTTTAAGAGTAGTTTTCAATGTATTTTCATACCAGTGAGTTGAGACTAATTACTGAGATTTAGTTAAGGTAAACAATAAACACTAAATTAGGACGAATCAATAGTTATTAGTTTATTGATTATAATCAAATGTCTACTGCTTCCTAATTAAATTCTGAAGGATTAACGAAGAAGAAACTAGAATGTAGAAGTTTGTCAAATAAACTGACAGTAATATTGTATAGTAGTTTATCTAACTTAACAGCGTTAAAGGGACTACAATTCAGAAAAGAAATGTAATGAGATTATAGTGAATGGAGATGTGTGAGTAACTATATAAATCCTGATCGTACTCTTGAGACTTGATGTTCATCAGGAACAGGCAGATGTAGGTAAACTTTTTGTACTCATTACTGCAGTAAAATACCAAACCGAATTAAAAAGAACTTTAGCTATTGTTCTTCTAGAGAGTAGAGACGAAGACTGAACTTACACGGTACCAAGGAGATGATGATTAAAGCCACTTGTGGTTTGGAAGAACACAAATACTTGATATCCGTGAGTTCTTTACTTCTCCTTGATGTCTGTCCATTCTAGTGGATAGGAAACACTAGATTGCTGGGCAGACCACTTTTGAAAACATATTAGCTGTCCTATACACCAAATGTCTCTTACTTGTAAAACACAGTAATTCATGGTCGGTTACCACTGATTCACCTTCTGAATAGGAATTCTGAAAGGAACTCCAAGGTACACAAAATCTCTAAGGTTTTTAGCCCAGACGACCTAACCCTGTCCCTATTTAAAGATGGTAGCCAGACTTTACTCAAGGAATAAGGTCATTATTGTACATTTCTTTGAAACGCCCCCACGAAAGGTACATGGCAATGGAAGAATTACTGGTCTATTTGGTTTCAAAAGCGTCAAAAATACCTCGAAGACTGAAAATCACCTGAAAAACTGATTTCACAAACAGCAGGCTGAATTTCACTCAGATCGTAGATGCATTCATCATGCGTTCGCTCTCTGACAGTTCTTACAGCACTTATACACGTAGTGAAAGACAACAGCAGTTGTATTTCTCCATATTAGAGCTGTCAAAGACCTGCTGCATGGAACAACCTGAGAAGTTTGTAGACATTTTGGAAGCCTTACACAAAAATCTACGACGGACATTGAGGGCATACAACCATTTACATACACCATTCTCAACCAGTATCGGGGTTAAGTACACCACCTCCCTGTAACTTTGCGATTGGTAACTCCCTTAAGACGGCTTCCCAGAATATATGTGATAGTGACAGTGGTGTATATAAGGTAACTCAAAGAAAGTCTGTCTGACCTTCAGTATACAGACAATATTGTTTTACAGTGTGACTAACTTGCTCTTAGACACTTGTTCATGAGTGTCTGTAGTATGGATATATACTTTGCACCGAACAAATAAAAATACTTCTCTCGGATTGGCAAAAGCCTGAGCGCGCATTCACCAGCACAGGTCAAAAAGTTCGTGTATCCAGTCGAATGGCGAAGGCCATGCCCTTCTTGGATACCTCTGATGCAGTCACAATGTTAGCATGACTTTTAGACGCCAGGTTTGCGACGCATCGGGCAGTGCTCAATGAGATTCAACCTTTTGGGGCTGAGGGTGTATCACAACTCTCCGTTTAATAATCGCCTGCAACTAGTGGACTTACCATGTAAGTAATTTCAAGGGCCGAAGACTTGTTTGAACGTGGTGCATATAGTCTTTCAGTTAGGCACTGACTTCAATGACCTGGGCAGATACTACAAATGTCATCCCAGCAGCCTAATTACTACCCGGTGTTCGTAAACCTTGGGACTTGTCAAAAAAAGATAAGATGTGGTCAGCCCATGACGTCGCAATGTATAATTGTTCTGGGTGACGATTTCTCAGTGGCACCACGACTTCTTAGAAGAGGACCGATGGATTGTAAGCCTCAGTGGTCCAAGATATCATTAGATATGGTCCAGAATGGAAATTAGAGCACACACAAGATTCAATTTCCTTTTCTGGAAACAGTATGTAATGATAAATGCTCTTTCAAACGATTTCCATATAAGTACTTATCTTTTTCCTCTCTATTGGTACATCATATTTTTTTAACTACTAGTGGAAGAGTAAAACACTTTAAAATACAACTGTGACATTCTTTCCAGTGTAAATATACACGAGAAGTGATTACACACAAAAAGGTTTTCTTCAGAGCCTTCATCAACAAGCACTGGAGTATACAAAGAACCTATTTTTCTACGATTTGTAACACAATCGTACACTGTTGATAAGAGACATTTATCATGGGTTTGTAGTGATCCAAGTATTTTCCTTCAATGCATCGACTGGCGTATGAAGCTCACTGGAGCTCACCGGCAGACGTATGGACAAAGGGCTTGTTGGATGTCCTGGATGTCTGGCCCCATTCAAAAAGGCGTATGAACCGAACTCCGGTCACCGGCTGCCAATGGATAGTGGACTCCCTACTCCACTCCTACTGCCTTGTAGTTCACACTTGGTTATGTAAAGGCTAGAGCTGCACTCCCAAACAAAAGGCCGAGCGATTCTGGGGACATCACTCGTACCAAATTCCCAGGAAACTTCATGAACTCTCTTACAAACGATGTCGCACGGGTGGACAGCTGAAAACATGGCTTGGTACATCAAGGCTGATATGGAGTGCCTGGGCTACAAACCGTCTACGGACTCCGTCTGTGGAACAAGAATTGGATAACCCTGTCGCAAAACCTTGCATCAGACTGCCGCGCCTGGGCAGCGATGATTCGAGATGTTCATGAAGCCAGCTCATCCTCCCGTAGGAGATAGCCGAAGTAAAGTAAAGTAAGTAAGTAGTTCTAATTATTCGCATTCAAACACTGACAACTATCCTCGAATACAAATGGTCTGGGAAGATAAATGTTGTAGAACTGTATACTGATTCCTAGCTAGTTAGATTATCGTATTAATTTCCAGTGAGGGAAGGGTTTAGATAGGTCTAAAGCGATCACTAAAGTGTAAAGGGGAGGGGGAGAAAAGTAAGAAAAAATATACTGACTAAACATATTTTACAAATAAAGGGAGATCAATAGAAAAAATAAAAAAAATTAACGAATAAAAGCATTACCTGAATAAATCCAGCTGAAATATACGGGATCAAAATGCTGAACTGTAGATACGATATCTCATTTTCTTGTGGATTTAAATGCCGTGTAATAATCACACTGATCAGAGTTAGTATGAAATGTAGTGGAATACACAAGAATCTGATGAGTTTGGATACTTGAGAGACATCTGTGTAGATTTCACGTAGTTTTCTACACGATTCCATTGTTCCTGCAGACATAGAAGATGACAACGATGATGAAGGAGAAGAAGAGGAAAGGGAATCAGAAACACCAGATGATGGAACTTCTTCACTAGGAATATGACGCCTTGATTTTTCAAACATTACACATGTATTAGTAGTAGTAGTATTTGTTGTTGTTGGCGGTGTCGTTGAAGACGGCGAAGGTGAAGAGGTAGGAGAAGCAAAAACTGATTGTTTTAAAGAAAACTTTTTAGAACAGGTTATAGAATGCAGACGTGTTGTCATTCTACTAATCAACATTGCAGCGAAAATTCCACCAACACCTAGAGGAAGTAATAAATAATAATAATAAGCCTATGCGAAAAAGACTGTTCAGTGACCAATATGAAAGAAATTATACTAATATTATGCTAAATAAACTTTTACCATACATTTTGTGTTTGAGCAGTAGAATTTTGGCACTGTAGCCGAGTATAATTCCATCGTGGAATAATTTTATTTGATAAAACAAGATGCAGTGATACAGTCACATTAAGATGGTGAGAGATGGCTGCAAGTCAAAAATTGTAGACAGCAATTTACGTCAATGTTACGTCCCGAATCGGAGTCATGAGAAAAACAATAACAAAGCTTCACCTTGAGGAACTCACCAACCAATCACAGCAGAGTTAACGTGCGCAAATAGGATTCGCAGATATATGGCTTAACTTTCTGAGAAACGGTCACAAGCAGTACAGGATAATCTTCAGCAAGAAAACAACCTATCAGAAGACGTCGCTTCTCCGCTGACAATAATGTACATAAAAATCTATAAATATCTCTTGATTTTCTCAATAAACGATCTGTTGCCTGGCTCTTGTCTTCTGTCGTTACAATATAACTTTCAAACTTTGTTTATGTAATTGTATTCTTTCTTATCCTTTGATTTAATTAGTAGTAGTCTTTTTACAAGAGTTGGTTTATAAGGATAAGATTTGTTTTTACGAGTTTGACCACGGATTGATATCAGTTAGAGAGCTTTTAAACCAAAAAAAACTCACGGACAAGCTCTGTAGGCCAAAAGACCTTATCGATCGAATTAAACATAATAATGTGTGATCTACAAAATACCTTGCAATGACTGTGAGGTCAACTACATAGATCAGACTAGTAGATTGGGGTCAGATAGTTTTTCAGAGCATAGGAATTTAGCTAAGTGTAGAATGACTGACCCCAGGAAGATGAATAGTCAAGAGAGAAACTCAGCAATCGCAATGCATGCAGTAACACACAACAGGTTGGGACAGAGTTATAGTTCTGGGAAGTAATATAAGTAGGTGAAGGGATGGGTTGGTCATTGAGTATTTTTGATCGTAGAATGCACACTTAAAAATGAATTCAGGCTGATACCAGGGATGTGAAAAATATGACTGTCAATAAAATAATAAATAAGGAATAAGAGGATGATGAAAATTGAGTTTAAAAGTTATGTGAGTGCCTAGATATGATTATAAGCGATAAATTGTGCCAGGGACGTCACCAGTAAATAAAATAATTCCGCATCATTGTTTATTTTCTCTGAATAAATTTCTCATATGATGCAATGTTGTTTTTATTTTTTTTAATTTATAGACCTCTCCTCTAATATACCAAAGATATAAACAATTTCAGGACTTATTTACTGAGTGAACTAAGTAATCTAAAAACTATTCCTCTGATGATAAGTCCACATTAATGAATAGACACTAAAGTTCTCGTTAGAAACTATCACACCACCAACAACAACAAAAACCAAACGTAAAAATGAACCATAGAAACTAAATACATCAGTGGGTGGTAGTGTCAACATGGTATCATCACCAATCACTATAAACGATCAACAAAATGTCTTACCAGTATGATCCTTAAAATAATTCATTGTTTTACAGAAGAATCAATTCACACATGATTATGATGAACTTTGAATAAGTTAAATAACTGACTGACTGGCTTCAACATAGAACTTTGCACTGATGTGCAGCAGTTCGAGTCGCCACACTCGATGCAGCACACAAAGCAAGAGAAGAAAGTAAAGGGAGATAACAAAAAGAATAGTAATATGGAAGAACAATAGAGTTTTATTGGATATGATAAATCACAAAGAGTGAATGCATCTGCACCAGCCATTGAGAACGATTTTGAGTCATATCACCGATTGTCTCCAACCAGTGGTTCTTACCCTCCCAAGGACCCTAACCAGGAAGTTTATACCACCCTACGTGGCTGGCTGTTGTGGATTTCATTGACTGATGCCATGTTTTCGTTTGACCACCATTAGCTAACTCTTTTCCAACCTGATCAATCCTATGTCAGCTAACATTGGCCGTTGTCGAGGAAGGCGATGGCTAGGGATGAGTGCGTAACACACATCCTGAACATCTCAACCGGTGTAACTTCACAACCTCGTCGACTGATTTCCCCTCCTTACCTAGCACTCGACCAAAGTCTAACCTCAATATTGCTCACTCTATTATACCACTTAACACGGGAGATAAAACTCAGGCACCTATGATCAAATACAGTTAACCTTTTCATGTCTTCCACTTCTAATGGCAAGGTCTCAAAGCCACAAAGGGGGACAGAGCGAACTGCCGAGAAGTACACACGCTCTTTGGTCGATAGCCGGATATCACGTCTACGCTAGAGATGGCGTAAGTTGGCATATGCCAAACAAACCTTTTGTTTCCGTGCTGAGATTTCGTCAGCCATCAACCAGTTGGGGCTGATGCAACTTCCCGAATAAGTAAAATGGTCAACACACTATACGACTTCACTCCCTATCTTTAAGCCAGGAGTCAATGTAGTCCAGTCCTGTAGCATCATCTTACATTTGACGGGAGCGGATCGCATGCCAAACATTCGCAGATTGCTACTCAAGGAGTTCAGAAGACCGCATTTTGTCAGCGTCTTCACCTAGAAGGACTATATTATCTGCATATTCTAAGTCAACGAGATTATTTCCTGGTAGCAAGTCAATCCGTGAGTCGCTGAATGAGTTAAATAACTGATTGCTGCTGTAATTATTTTAATTTAACCAGTGATACGTTCTGCAGGCAGTTGTTCAACTAATCATGATATTTAATAGCACTTATTTTTTCAGGCTTAAGCGTTCCAGTAGCGGTGGTTTTGTATTTTTACAGGATTGGATCGCTAGTCTTACGCCCAACCTTTTCGGGCTTACTACCGACTAGGCAAGCTTTAGGGATGTGTTGGTCAGGAGTGGAATCCACATCTTCCTCGTGATTGGTGAGGATTACACCAGTGGACCACCAACAAATAACAGCAGATTAATTCGGTTAAATGTATTAGTTTACATACAATATGACACATTACACTAACCTGCAATAGAATAAATCCAGTATGACTTTAGTTACATCGCCCCAGAAATATTATTAAAACTTGAATGATTTTGACAATCTTACAAGTACTATAATTTTGAGTAATGTAAAGGAAGCAGTGTACAACGAACGGGCTGAGAGCATCGGAAGTAAACATTCCTAATATTAGTAGCTATACTTTGATTGGACACTAGTTAGTAACTAGTGTAGTGTGTCTAGTCTTCTGCTTAGTGCAGACTGAATTCTATCAATTAGATTTGCAATGTGGCCATCATGCTAGGTGGCACAACATCACGGTGCAGTTTGCATTGGCGATATTAGATGGCTGGAGACAATCGACCGAAAGCTTTGGACCTAGGTTTCGTGCTAGTTGGCACTCACCAGTCAGCAAGGCGTATCTGCAACCTAGCTATTCATAATCAAACAAAAGACAATATACTGAAATATAACTATTTTTTAATCTATCAAAAGTAATACAGACTTGTAGTTCACGTGAGTGTTTTTGTTGTTGTCATATTGTGCGCGCTGTATGGCTTAATTTAAAAATGGTGTTTATTATATTCCTATACACTTACACAGCTAACCACAAATTCTCTTCTAGTAAATTATGAAGTCATTTTGGATTCTGTTGACAATCAAAAGTTTACGGCAGAAAATTTGTTGGTGAAATACGAAGGTTTTTACAGATTACAGGAGAAAGTCATATGAATGAATTAACACGCGATGACTTGTCATTGTCGAAATACAAAATAATCGAGCAAAGAATATTCTTTCCGATAAATTTCTCTTTCAGGCTCTATAATTATATATATGTTTATATACACAGAATATTTTAAATTAGTAGTTAATAACAATATTAGCGTTTTTTAAATAATATCGATTTGTAAAGTGTGATCAATGCTATTACAGTTCATTAAAGGCGATTGGGAAAGATTAGTGATGATAGAGATAGTACCTACATCACTTCTTACATAAGCTCCAACCATCAGAAGAAGACAACTCACTGAATAAATCTAACTTACACTAAAACACCTTAGTCGGCAACCGATAACTTGTTCCTTGGGATTTTAAGGTGAACCTAAAGGATTGCACAAATATAACAGTAGCACGACTTCAACCGGCAGCCAACTTCAACGTCAGTCCGAAACGCGGGGATAAGCTACCGTTTCTTAGAAACGAATACAATACTAAGGTGTGTCTACTTACTACACTTAATTCTATGAGTTTCATGAGACTATAATCCACACTATCTGAATTTTGAGGTTAGTAGTATTAAGCAAGTTGCTTAGGTCACTTACAGTGGGTTACAAAAATGAGTATAACAGTGGGGTTAACTGTTTGGTTCGGTTAAGTTCCTCACATAGGTTCTAAGTAGTAAAAGTCCAGATGGATAGTTGAACAATAGTATAGTTAATAATTTATTCCCAAATTTGCAGCACCTATGACACCAATAAAGATCCGAATGCTGATTAAATCAGATCAATTGCTTTTGCAGATACATCTAAAACAAACTGAATGAGGGTGTAACCAGTGGATAGGTTTGCTGTCGAACACTGATAAAGTAGACATATTAATACTTGATTGGATAATGAGACATTATCAGTTGGATTCATCAGGACTTAATATTCCTACGCAACAAAAACAACTTATTATAGCTTCTATTTTACTATTGTTGAAAAATCATCCAGGAATTTCATCAAACATTATAGTCGGCAAATGAGGCGCAAATACAGATTATCAGTCGGCAACATTCTAAGGCTTGCTAGTTGATCCACCAATCCGGTGAACTAATACAGAAAACTCACTAGGATGACAAGAACATGTATTCACTAGACAGATAATTAGAAGTATAAAAATCAGTGAATGAGTATTTCAAGTCACCAATGCTACCCATACAAAAACGAGTCAATTATGCTTGAAAGCAAAACACTTAGTTCAGAAGAGAGTCGCTTTTCAAAGAATTCACTCACTTAGCTGTAAAGTCGCGGGTATATATACTTATTTGTGTGTGTGTGTACCTTAGGTTTGTCCTATAAGAATGAAAATAAGTTAGGATTATTGTTGTCAAGACATTTCAAAAAATGTGATGAGTATTCAAATTGTAACTAGGAGGTTGGAGGTGAAGATTAGTGGCGATGCGTTGTCAAAAAAAACAGTTATTAATCTTAATCAGCACATAACATAACACAATTTAACTTCAAACTGGAACGGTCAACTAACAAGTTCCTACATTTGGGTACCTATTAATTCCCTTGTCACTCGAATACGACGCATCTACAGTCCTTATGCTCTGGAAGCAGAACTGCATCTTCTGAAAGAAACCTTCATCCAAAATGGATACCCACCAAGATTCATCGACAAGAATATCACATCAAAGATTCAGAGGAACGAAAAACCGCTTGTTCCAAAAAAGATGCTTTACATGAATTTGGATTTCAAGGGGGACTTAGCTTGCGATATTCTCAAAAGGAGAATTTCAGCATCTTTGAATACAACATTCTTCGCAGCAACGCTAAGAGTAGTGTTCTTCAGCTGTCCATTGATCTGCAGAAGCTCTAAGGACAAGATCTCGAATCTGGCCACTTTTGTGTGCATATATCAGTTCACCTGTTGCTGCAGAGCCAGGTACATTGGTCGTTCAATGTGTATCCTGTCCTAAAGGGTTCAAGAGCACTATCCCACATGGCTAAAAAAGATAATAGTGGATGTATAAGGAGTGCGACAGTCGAACACCTCGTCAACATTGATCATTCCACCTCAACAAATGCCTCCTTCAAAGTGATCAACACAGTGAAGAATAACCTACCAAAGGCAATACACTTTCGTCTCCTTTGTATTGCTGAAGCCTTAGTCATTCAATGGTGTATAAGAAAGAAAATCACCCAACCACTTCTACTATCATGGTAACAACCGTGTTAACTTCTGCTGACTTGATGTTTGTGTGCTTGTTTTTTTTCTAGCTCCTTATAACATTTGTAGTTGTTAGAACTCTTGCATAATCCCATATTTTCCTTTGTTTCTATTTGCGTCCTAATCACAACTCACTCATTAAACTATTCGTCTTGTTACGTAACCACATTGCGCTTTCTTAACTTCTTTTATGTGTTGATTAAGAATAATAACTGTTTTTTGACAACGCATCACCACTACCCACTTACCAATCTTCATCCCCAACACCCTAATTACAATTTGAATATTCATCACATTTTTGAAATGTCTTGACAACAATAATCCCAACTTATTTTCATTCTTATCGGACAAACCTAATGTACACACACAAAAGAATTAGTCTATATAATTGGACTCTACTACAAGCTGTATCTACAAGTTCAGCTGTAGTTGTGGTTACACTTACATAGGTAGAATGGTCCAATATCGTCGAAAAAAACATGTTCCAAAATGGTTATTAAGAAACATAGAAAATCCCAATGTAATTAATTTGAATAGAAATCCATCACCGTTCATTGCAAAGCACTTATCAACGTCAGGACACAAAATCAATATCAATGACTGTTTCACATAAAGCTAATTCAAGGTTGGTTATTAAAGGTGATGGGAGCATTTCGCATTAATCACATGCTTCCTAAACTATGTGTACTTCAATCTTCGCCTACCATGGACTACTTAACCTACTTAAAGTACAAAAGTACATACTAATGACCAATCATATTAAATATGATTGATCATCAATATGTACTTTTGTTTTATGTAACTGGGTAATTGTTATACATTTTATTTTATTATTGTGAACCAAGCTAGTTGTAAAGCGAGTGTAGAGAAACTACAAAATGATATCATATCGCAAAATTTGTCCTCTAAATGCCTTATTCAAATTTATCAAAGGGACTAATTGTTTTAATAATATAATTGCAATTGTACAGCTAAGTGAATTAATTCGCCGAAACAAAACTCTTCGCTGAACTACGTGTTTTGTTTTCATTAATATCTGGATGGGGATTATTTATGAATCAATTATACTTGAATATAAGCCATGTAAATCGACTGGTAACGTCATGAATCTACTTATTATCATCAAAAGTTAATTAAAAAGTGTTAAGAATATAATATTCAGCGAAGAGACTCTTTTCAAAGAATTTATCATCAAGTTGTACAATATATATATATATATGCTTTTTAAGAAATTATATCCAGTGAGTGAATTGAATCAGAGGTGTGAATACATGAAATAATAATAATATGAAATGTAATTATAATATTTGTGATTATATTCATAGTTCACTGTCAAGTAGCAAAACATATAAGAATAAAACTTGGGCACTGTGGTAGAGTGTAATTCCATTATGGGTAAATTTTTATTTTGATAGAGTCTCACAGTGTTATACAGTAATATTTACTGATGACGTTTCGAGCACAAACTATTGCTCATAATCATATCAAGTTGATATGATTATGAGCAATAGTTTGTGCTCGAAACGTCATCAGTAAATATTACTGTATAACACTGTGAGACTCTATCAAAATAAAAATTTACCCATAATGGAAGTAGCAACACAATTAATGTCATACATGGAATTATTCATAAAATGTATAGACGTTGGAAAGGGGTGCATAATTATAGGATTAGTAGGCTAATATAAAACGTCACATAACATGGTGTGAAATGTGATAAGATCAAATCCAATATTGTAAAAAAAATCTGGATTTAGAATGACAAGCGGGACAGGCGGAAACAATTCAAGGTGAGAATAGTAATAATAATAGTAATCGTAGTAATGAGGGAAAGGTACACATATTAACTAAATAAACAAAATAAATGTGTATCCCTCTACGGCCAAGGCAGAAGTAAGAATTGTACATACTTCTTCTGTACAAAAAGGTCTGGCTTAAATTCATGAATGGCCAAGGCCTCCGCTGTCTTAAGAAGTCTATAACGAAGAGAATGCGGCAAGATGGTGTGGATTCGGTAGATGATCTTAAAATCATGATCAGGATTGGTAGAATGACAGGAGTTGATCAGGTGTTCTAGGATAGAGCTTCGCACACCCCTCTTTTCTCCCTTGTAAAACCATGCTGGAATATGTTCTCGTATCTCGTATCCGTGTGGAAAGCGTTCTCTGGCTACGGCAAATGTACGTTGCTCCACAAGAGCAGGTGAACTGATAGATGCGGCCAGACAGGGGATCTTATCTTTTCCAGAGATGGAGAACAACTTGTGGCCGGTGAGCGTCATTTGTAATTTCGCAGGAAAGTACGTCTTACTGACTGATTTAGAGAGACGGTTTTTGAGCATCTCTGAAGCTTGATCACCTTTGAATACCAAGTTCATGAATAAGTTTTTCTTTGGAACTAAGTCGGTGATCAGTTAAGACGGCTTATCCTTCGTGTTTCTGTCAACAAATCGGTTCGGGTAACCGTTTTCTGTGAGCGTGACTTTTAGGAAGTCAGGTTCTGAGTCAACGCAATCCGAACTACAAATGTTTCTTATCCTAAAGCAGAGTGAATGAATTAGGTTCCTTTTCCTTGAGATAGGCACCCAACTATAAAAATTAGTTAGTTATTCATTCCATGTACGTTTCGGGTGTATGGATTTTTTGAGAGATCGTTCATTGCGTCTACAAAGGCACACACCAAGAAAGGGAATACTTAGCTCAGATTCCTTTTCTACGGTGAATTTTAAAGAAGGGTGGCAGCTGTTGAATGCAAACAAGACATCATCAAGAATTACGTTCTTATCGCAAATAACGAAAGTATTGTCTACGTATCTTCTATAAGTGTCAAAGTGACAGATGGTTTGACTAAGTTGAGAGTTTTCAAGCTTCGCCATAAAACAGTCAGTTAGCAATAGACAAATAAAGCGAAATGAATTATACGCAATATATTTTCTCTTCATACTTGAAATTCCACCTTAGATAGTGCACTAATTTCAATCAGTTTATAAAACTCAACAATACACCCTCAATAGGATAGTTCATATTCGCATCGTTTTGTGACAAGAAATATGTGTACATAAAAAAAAAATGAAAAACAGGGTAAAACTAGTAGAAAAAAATAACACCTTGATTTTGTCATGGTACGCTATCTGAGCTGGCGAGTTTAGTTATGAAGCTTTCTCAGCTCGGACTTCAATATGAAGTGGACTTATGGGATTCCCTCCGAGTTTATCAGCCAGCTCTGCTGGTCACCTTGCGCACACGACTGGATGTTTCTGGAGATTTCCTAATCTTCTAGTCCTTTTGTATTGGTTATTTTGTTGACCTCTTGTTCATGTGACTTCCTTTATTATTGATCGATAAGGTTTTACCCAAGTCAACGTGTTTGTTGAAAGATACATGTCAAGTGAACTTGTGAGGAATTCTGAAAGCTCACTTCATATTGAAGTATGCGTTGAAGATGTTGTCTAGAAAGGCAATCAAAGCTTCACTTCTAAACCATTTAGCTCAGAGAACACAGCTACATCAATATCATCCACATGTGCTGTAAATTCCCTTTATCATAAAATGCTTTTCAGAAGAATACGTGTGCTACATACACCATCAGTAAAGATCATTCCAAATACCTAAATAACGTATCTTTTATACTCTCCATGGAAGTACGGATCTGAACTTGGCGCCTTTTTTTTCAAAACTACGAAGTATCATATTTTTAGTTTAAGGTAATTCAGTGCAAAATATAGGCAACAGCTTACCATTAATTGGGACTTGAAGGCGAGCAACCACAGGGAGATCGGCCAGAAATCGTGATGAAATATTTCCACTAATGCTAAGAAGGAGAGAAAAACTTACTATAAAGTGTATAACTATTAATCAATATAACATTTAAAAAAATATTGATTTGCTTTAAAATGTACACGACAGGATGAAAATAAGACTCTGTATTGATTAAACACTTATTCAAATACAGAAAAATCCACATAAAATGCCTAAAATCAACAGGAACTATCATGTTAGTATGTGAATATCAGTTGATCATAAACAGTAAATCTGTGTGACACAGTGAGTGATACGAGTAGTTATAACGGCTTAAGAAAACACCTCAAGTATTAAGAACATGAAACATAATATGATATGAGCAATAAATGGTGCTTAAAAGTCATCTAATTAACAGTGCCATATCGAAGATGAAATGATCAGAAAGAATAAACAACAAGGAACTCCGGCAACGAACCAGCCACCAACATATTGCTCAACAAATATGTAGAAGAAAGTGGAGAGGAATTGGATGTACATTGAGGAGAAACTATTGAGTGACATCACACTCACACGGAAAGATCATATGAAGAGAAAGCTTGTAGTCTGTCACAGAAACAGCTGAAGGTGATGGAAGAAAATCCAGTGCAACAGAGATGTGCCGTTGAAGCCATATGTTCCCATCGGAACTGAAGGAATGAACAATAATAATAATAATGGTAACAAATGAACAAATTTCATACGGAATTTATAATCTACTCCTAATGCACAAACCACGAATGATACCTTATAGCGAGGCAGTAGTGGATGTGAATACGACTACAAAAAGAAAACAAAAGTCTTAGATAAAAGGAACAGCAAAAAGCGGCAGCATTACTAGAAAGCCGACATTCATACCATTCAATCAACGCGTTTATATAAATTTTCATTTAGTAGTTTACATATCAGTAAGGAAATCAACAAACCAAGAATGAAGTCGACGAAACAACTAAGAGGGACATTCGCACACACCAAAAGAAAGTAACCAATCACACTCCATTTCATAACAGATGGAATAATTTTCCAGCTCACTTCTGTTTCAGGTTTGGGCTGATCAATTCATCTAAGAAGACAAATGAAAGCTTCTGCCTACTAGAAGCTAAAAAGGCCATGCCAGAACTAACATTTTGTGTAGCTGACTTCTCGATATTCAAAGTGTATGATGTGTATTATTATTATTGTTCCCTTGAGTTCCGAGTAAGATGTAGGACTCAAACAGAACATCTCCATTTCGTCCTGTTCTCTGGGGTTCTCTTTTGCTGGTTCCACAGTTTTCTATAAGCCCTCATGTCCTCCTTAGACAATGTCCTCAATGTCACCCTCGGACCCAGGCCCAACTCACCGTTTCCCACTGAAGGCCCTACTTGGCGCGTGATGCCACTCAACAGGCTCCCAGGTGTGTATGTCCGACCAATCGCCATTTCCTTCTGCATATCTGCTGGGTAATAACTTCTTGGTTAGTTCGTTGCTAGAGTTCCTTGTTGCTAGTCCTTTCTAACCATGCGATATTCAGTAGAGAGCGAAGGCAGCTGTTGATAAAAGTTTGCAGGTCTGTTGGAAATGCTTTCGGTGATGTGTATGTTAAAATATAATAAATTTAAGTCATGAATAAAGAAGTGAAACGCCCGCATAACTCATGATCAACTGAACTAGAATGCTAACACTAAACTCAAACAAATTGATATACGACTATGAAGTGAAAATATCTGATATCAATTGTTAACAATCGATATATTAAATTCAAATGTTATTTTCTATCTGTATTCTAACTTATGCTTGATGTGTTTACAAGGAGATAAAAACATTGAAATGTGAAGAATACATCTAAAACTTATGACTTCATACCGCAGACGAAAAGAAAAACAATGGCTTAAAGATAGCTGAAAAGCTGATAAGTAAAACGAAAATTGATTGAAAAGCCTCACTAATCTTTAATTTAATCATTCTATTCATTGCACTCAAGTATTTGTCCATCCTACTATCAATGAGTATCTTCATAGATGTCTACGATCTCTTTCTCACGTTAGGTGGCATAATAAGGTAAGTAATGTTGACGTTAGGCGTAGAGTGTTGGGCAAAGAGGGAAAATCAATCGAAGAGGCTATAAAGTTGCATAGATTGAGATGGCTAGGTCACGTGTTGCGCATGCCTAACCATCGCCTCCCTCGACGGGCATTTCTAGATGATATAGGTGCAGGTTGGAAAAGAGTAAGTGATGGCCAAACAAAAACATGGCCTCATCAATCCGTGAAATCCTTGACAGTTAAACTGAGTCAGGTAGAGAGATGCAGAGTTCCAGGTTGGGGACCTCGGGACTCTAAGAATCAATGGCTGGAGACAATAGGTGACATGACTCAAAATCGTTGTCAATGGCTTACGCAGATGTATTCAGTCTCTGTAATCTTTCATATTCCTTTCTACCATTACTCATTATGTTTCACTCTTATACTTGTCAAAACTCTATTGATTCTCTCCACCCATCTTTCTGTCTACCTATGTGGTGTACCAGTGGACTACATAGTTAACGTCGTTGTCGATAGGCACTTGACTTCTGGCAGTAAATTTGCTAGAGGGATTTTGTCTAACTTGGAGCATCCACTTCACCCTCAGCTTTCACCTTGCATCTCCTCAGGTAGAACAAGAAGTAACTTCAGAAAACTGTATGCTCGCACGTCTAAGTATCAAAATTCTATGATACCATACTTGGCACGTATTTTATGTAATGAAAATAGCGTCAGGCAAGAATTGACTAACCTTTTTTCATCGAGTAAATAAACAATCTCCTCCATCCATCTTTATATACCTTCAAGTTTTATTTTTATTATTTCTACTATATTTATGGTCCTGTTGATTCTTTGTTTTTACATTCATAACTGCAAACACCAACTTATCTCTATGACTGCTGTAATCTTTGTTTTTTCCCTCACCGTATCATGTAAAGAGAACATTATACTCAACATTTTTAATCATGCAAGGATTTGTATACCGCATAGACAATACTGTGTGAAACAAGCCCACTGCAATTTCCACTTGTATTATTATCATTACCTTAGCTGCTATCATTATTATTATTTCCATTTTATATGCTGCATGTTTTTTGTTTTGTTTTGATATTACCCCTATTGTAAATGTGGAAAGATTTTCTGTGGGATTAATTTTATTTATAATTTGAGGGAATTAGATGCAATATTGTGATTAATGCTGAAAATTCCATTCTGTATCACAAGTACTGTTTTTGGAATAAAGTAAATCATTATCATTATTATTATTTGGAACGTGGCAACTCGAACTGCTGCACTTCGGTGCCAAGTTCCATGTTGAATCCAGACAGACAGACAATGAGTATCTTCATTTTGTACTTTTATGAAGTGTAGCAACTTGAACTGATTCACTTCTGTGTGAAGTTTCACACTGAGCCATCATCCAGTGATAATGATAACGAAGTGGATCACTAAAATTAACCTAACCAATCCACATATTATTAATTTGATGGCACTCTGTAATTACAATTGACCACATATTTAAGTATTGAACTGGTGATTAAGTGACACATTCATTCTCTTATCTATACAAATAAAATATCATAACCAAGATGTTGTGTTCTGATATCACTCGTGTAGTAAACAATAATCTGTTCACTCAGAAAATATATTCACTGTTGTTTCAATCGACTATTTGGTTTTCAGTAATCCAAAAATAAAAGCACTTGGCTACTATTGCCAAGTATTAAACCAAGCTAGACTGAAGACCACTGACTAACCGCACCCACCTCACTCCACAGATATTATAGACAAACATTTGATACACTTAAAAGACGCCATGAGAATGGCGATTAAATGTCGTTTGTGACTTTGAAGAAAGTCCCACTGAAAACCCCTAGGTTTCTGGGATTTCCTTACAATTTCTTGACACTTGTCGGTCCATCTCAGAGGATAGCGATTGCAATAACCTGCATAAGATTGCACAGTGCTTATGTAAAGACTGAGAAGCCTGGTGATCAGAGCGTGTGTGCATAAGATGAAGTCAGTAGCTGTTCCAGGCTAGTGGAGTCATCGGCACCATCTTTTGAAGCCTGTATTGTATCAAGTTTGTGTTTTAATAATAAATAAAAAAGTATATTTAACGTTTTAGTTGCAGTTTTTATGATTTAAAAAAGAAATTAAATCACATCATAAAAAATTACCATTATAAAAACCGCTAATTTCCAACGGATTATACGAATAATAATAATAAACAGTTTTTCCCCTCTGACTTACCTACTCATAATAATTGCCAGGATCAATGGAACAATAGTTTCCTTGAAAGTAGTAGATGTTATAACAAGATTGCTAAATTCAGGCGACATATGCATATTGGAGTGATATAATAAGTAAGCAATACTTAGGAAAAGAACGATGAAGGTTATGCATATAGCAGCAATGAAAGTAAAAGTTGGATCTGAATGAAAGTAAATTGTCAAGAGAAAAAGAAAACAGTAGCATAAATCAATAGTAAGTTATCTTATACTATAATAAAAGGCGATTTAAATCCCCAACACCTAGACTGAGAGGGAGACTAATACTGTATAGTGTACCTCTCCCGGCATAATAAACCGTGGTTAGATAAACTGACGACAAAAAAAAGACGGCGGTTAGCATTACCTATGGATCTATGAACATTTTTAGACAACTCTGTCAAGAAGTGAAGTGTGCTTTGGAGGCATATAAAAATGTATTAAGCATTTTTCAGTGTTGGTTAAGGCTTTAACTAATCCCAAAAGTTAATAAACAATTTAAATATATATATTGAGATAGTTGTGTCCAAATTCCAGGTCAGTCACAATTTCATGCATCTGAATAATCTAGTCACTAACTGTATGACAATGACTCATGAGATTGATTCTACCGATGTAGTCTGTAAACTGATTTCATGCCCTCGTGTCAGTTAGTCATCATTTTGTTTGGTCAACGTGCTTTTAAGATTTGACCTGTTGTTTTTAAATACAAGCTGTATATGTGCTTATCCCCATTTACTGAGGCAACATATTGTTCGATTAATGAAGTTTATGAATATCCCAGTTTATTCAACATATGGGCCGATTCGGCGATGTCGACAGTTTCCGTAATTGTTATCGTAATCTGTATTCATCTTGTCTCTTCTCGGTACTGAATCCTACAGTTTACACAATGTAGTATGGTGGGACTTCGTTGACTTGTGTACTAAAGATGAATTAGTTGAGTGGCACTTGCTGAAATACTTTTGATATATATCTTATTAGATTATTATTCGCTCCCTGAGTTTCCAAAGGTGGATAAGGCTTCAGCAGCGCATCACAATTTTACCCTGTCCTCTGCAGTCTTTTCCAGCTGACTCCAAGAATGCACAGGATCTCTCCCAGGTCCCCCTAGAACGGCCAACTCCTCGTTTCCCATTTGCGTACCATTCTTCGAACTACCCTGCGCGTGATACCACTCAACGGTCCCCTTAGCGTATATCCAATCTACCATCAATTTTCTTCTGCATATTTGTTGGACAACAGGTTAGTGGTTGGTCTACTGCACTGCCAGAGTTCTTTGTTGCTTGATCTTACCCTACCGGCCATCTGATTTTCAGCATTGAGCGAAGGCAGGCGTTAGTCATACATACGGCAAGATAATTGATTTTTCTGGTTTGGGTAACTGTGTTCTTTTGGTAAAAAAAATTTCGATGAGACAAGTAGGAAACTAACTGGCTCTGGGAACATTTTTCGAGATAAATTTCTTTCAACCACTTTTGTTTTACAGTGCTACAGTGAAATTTTATGCACATAAACAAAAATGTTACTCAAGTCCTTTCGTGAGGCACTAGTTAGTATTTTGAAATTCAATCTGTGCTTTGCTTTTCAAAACACTTGAGCTTACTTTTCGGTAAGGGTAATTGCTACATTTCTTGACTTGGAGGTTAGACTGTATTGAGCCAATTGAGAAGACTGACAGAGGTGTATCTCTTGAAACTATTCCAAATGGTTTCCACTAAAAATACCAAAGATCTCTTCTACTGTTCAACATTTTCTTTAACATATCGGTAAAAACATACTTACTCACAGAACACTATGAACTGCCTGTCTATCTGTTACAAAAGCCACTCATCGACTTTACAAAACTGTTTATTCCTCTGCACTCCGAGTGGAACAAACAGGCTCAAGCGTTGAAGTTTCAGTAGCAACAAAGTTGATTTTATGGAGTGGGGTTGCTAGCATCCCACTCAACCTTCCCACTTTTCTTGGCTTACCACCGGTAATTAGACCGCGAGAGTTTTGGGAGTACGCCAATCAGAGATCGAACTCCGGATTCCAAGCCTAGTTGCAGAGCGTTTTACCATTAAACCACAGACGCATTATTTACAAAATAATTTTATTGTATTGAAAGGTAATCTTTCAATTAGGTTATTTTAAAATAACCATGTTGTTAAACAAACATCTTATTGTTGAAACCTAAACTTTATTGACATCATTTGTTATTTCTAGGACTAATTAATATTGATTCGTTTTCTTAACATTAGGATAGGCTAAAATTCTGTTCTCTTGTTGGCACTGCTATATAATCGACATACATACATAAAATAATATAGCCCAAAGAAACAAGTTTTTTCATTCCCTTGTATTCCGTGTGGAACATCAGGTTTCAAGTTTGAGCTTTTAACTTTCGGTGGCGGTGGTATTGTTTCTACCGGGTGCGGCTGCTAGCCATAAGCCCAACCTTCTATCTTTACCTAACTTACTACCGGCCAAGAGAGGTTTAGGAGTGGATCAGCCGGGAACTGAACCCGGACCACGTGAATCGTTGGCGAACATTCTACTACTGAACCATTGACTCGGATGAAGTGAGTGTTACGGATAAAATGGCTTGGAGGTGACAGTGTCACTTTGAATATGAATAAATTTTCAGCAGAATTAGCGAATGACAATAAAACATAACTACAGTGGCAATAATGCAGTGGTTGTTGGATCAAAAATGATAATATTTATAATAAATTAGTCTAGAGATTTACAAGACATACTATTATATCAAAAACATACGGATAGAGGATTGTCTAGTGATTATTAAACTAACAGAAATATTGGAGATTCAACTGGTGTTCAATTCCATCACAAAATGACAAAAGCTAGAAAACTACTGTAAGCTGAAGAGTACTAAACAACTACTTGTCGAGTAAACAGTGTTATATATATATATATATATATATATATATATATATATAATGCTGTCTTCAGTGGTTTATTAGTTGATTCGGGCTATGACGAAATACACGAGATAATTAGCACAAATTCCAATGGATTGCTTTCCTTACAGCAAACTCTGACAATTGTAAATGTCACTGTATGAGCTGAAAAATGGTCTTATCTTAACACCACAACGAATACGTCTTCAGTTACTGAGAAATGTGTGTTGATCAGTTCATTACTAGTGTAGTATTTGTACATGGAATGGAAAAAAATTATTACTGCAGAAAACTCACATTCCATAAAATAGCAGTTTACACGTGACATGATCAAAACCGTTGCAAGGTCTCCTAAAGCAGCAGCTGCCGGTGGAGCAATATTGTCAGGATTCGCACCGAAGAACACACAAGCGCATACTATTGCATACACTAGAACACCTTAACGATTTTGTCAGTGAAAGGGAAACTCTTACTTATTAAACATGAAGCACAAACACAAGTTACAGATGAAATACAGATAAGATGGGCGATATTAATAGAAGAGTAGGATATGAGTGATGTTGAAATATGCACAGTTGTAATCACTAAAGGAATGGCGACGCTTGCAAGAACTGCAAGGACCTGCAGAAAAAACACATATAAGACAATGTAAAACTTAACCAGTATAAAAGCCAATGTGGTTGTAAACAACCAGGATGAAATTTCACTAAACTTTCGTCTAAAGTGAACCTGAAAACATCTGAAAGATTAATTGATTAAACATACCACAGTGGCAAGTCGAGAAGAAAGGGCAACTTCTAAATTGCCTTTGAGTCCAAGAACAGGTGGGATGATTTCGAAAATATATGCCCCACTGGAATTAAAAATGCTCTAAAGAAATGTTGGTTATTATTAAGCACCATACAGAAGACTTCAACATATCAACATAACAGCCTGCGACCACCATACCAACTCCCGCCAATAAGCAAGCAGGGAATATTTCACGAGCAACATAAGATATATGTCGAGAAGAGGACATTGTGAAATATGTATTCAAGCAGTGAGAACACTCGGCATTTTGTTCAGATCTTGACCGACACGTATTATGAACACCTAAGAATATAGGAAACAATGTTAAATTGTAATAAACTTACAGACTTTGTTTTTGAAACATTCTCTAAGTGATGAATTTATATATATCAACACGCCTTGCAGTCTTGTTTATTCTGAAAACTGATACAGGTTTAAAAATAAGTGAAATAACACTAGAATTCTGAAAGTGATTCATCTAATAAACATTACAGACAGTGTTTAAAGAAATTAACTGACAGGGAACTATGTGAGACATTAAACTTGAGATAACTGCGTAACTGCAAATTAAACTTAGTACAGGTGAGGTATCATGCTACGTTACTGAATGGAAACGTTTCGTAAAACATGTGGGTATAAATTACAGATACTTAAACACTGGATTAAATTAAACAATCACTGCAATATATTTTACGCAGACCGGTAGACCTGACAACAAAAGACAAGATCAGTATTGTCTATAAGATAAATCGTATCAGCTGTGGAAATCACTATAGTGACCAAAACGGATGTGCGAATCATTTTCGCATCCCTAAACAGCAGCTAGCACTTAAAAGGTATGACATACATTATCTCATATCAATTCACTTGAAGAACCATCGACATAATTTTAACCGAGTAAATGTAAATACCTTAAACAGAGAGGACCCAACAAATGAAGAAGTAATAGGACCCATGCACTCAGACTAATTCACAAACATATGCCTAAAGATCACATATACAATTTAATAACAAATTAATCACACGACAAAAAAGTATAAAAATAGGGTTAACGAGACGACCAATCTTAACACTGGTGAATACAATCCTAAAGAAATTGTGGAGGACAACCAATCACTACCAAGGTCACCCGGAGAGATGAATATTGCATCATTAATGGAGAATTCTAAAGCACACTTCACACAGAAGAAGCTTTGCAACCAAACTATTCAACTCAGAGAACATAACAATGAATACATGCTCAGTGTGATACACATACCTTTAATTAACACACAAATCATGTGTTACCCCAACAATAGGAACGAGAAGTGTAAATTTATCGCTGTTTGGTTGTAAAAGTGAATGTTGATGAGATAAAAAATTCTGCTTTTGATGAAAACAATACTGCTGTTGTAACCGTAGCGGAATTAAATGAGGACGTTGTCGCCTTATTCTATCTGCGCCTGACTAATATGCCTATCTGCTTCTGGTACCTTCCGATTCAGCGAACCACGCAAATATCAAAAGACAAAAGCTGGTCTGTGACTGTGTATTGTAGTAGAACAACTACGACAAACTACGACAAAGAAACTTATTTAGGAAATGGTATTTATACATTTTTACAACCAATACAGACAGCTAACAGTATTTGAAATAATTGGTCGTAATAGTCAATAACAAAATGCGTGGGAAATGATAATATACCACTTATGCGAGATTAACAGTCGTTAAAATAATTGAACAATAACAAAGTGTGTGGGATCCTATCAACTGCCTACAAAATGGTGCCACAATTCAGATCAACTTAGTTTTCTTCGTTTAATATATTCGTAACTGTAGTTTGAATTTCACTACATCTGATGGCTAATATTATGTGCTTGTTAAGTATATTAAAGGGAAAAGAACAAAACGTTAAACAAAGATATCTTTTCGTCGATTTCATTCTCAAAAGCTGTACAATAGCATTTATATACATAAGTTTACATAGATACAATTATTATTTTTTGACTCCACACAGCAACGAAGGTGATTAAGAGTCATAATAATTTTCAACTTGATATGAAAGTTTGAAGGGGTGAATATAGATTACAAGGGACTTAGAGACAAGATTACAATAAATTAGAAAACTATGTGGAATCAAATAAATAATAATTGTGTCTATGTAAACTTATGTATACAAATGCCATTGTACAGCTCTTGAGAATGAAATCGACGAAAAGATATCTTTGTTGAACTTCTTGTTCTGTTCCCTCTAATGTCCCGATGGGTATTTTCCCTGAATTATGTTAAAATATCAAACTATAAGTCACCAATCTAAAATAAAATTCGTCTTTCGATAAACTTAAGTACAGCATGCAGAGGACGCAAGTCACAAGACAATTTCATTTCGTTACAAAACTGGTATGGTTTGCGGAAATAAAATTGCTTGACAATATTTCAATAGTGCAACAAAAAAAATGCACTAGCAACCAATCATTTCAATAGGTAAAGTAGTCGAAGGAAAACAGAAATTTCTTGAACAAATAATTCAAGGCTGATATAATCTTTTATAGTAACTCAATGACACTAACAACGTTAAACTAGATATGTATTAGCAATTAAAAAAATATTAACTCTATGAGTAGCCATGTACTGAGGCATAACAACATACTGTTAAATCTCTATTCGAGCTACCTATATTTATGCGACCTAATAGACATTCAGAAAAGTTCTTCTGGGAACATTGAATCATTTTTTATTAGTTGGAACAGTCAAATAGTCAATACTGAGCAAAAAGCACTAAATAAACAATGATTTTGTTTGCACTAAGTAGTAACCAATTTGTTTAAATAGTTTTTAGTTTAATGTTCAATAAAATAGGTACCGCGTTCCATTAGAGGACTAGGTCTCGTGCATATGTTCAATTTCGCAAGTTAGTCTATCCAGAAAACTTTGTTGAGCACTACGATGGAGTAAAAATACCCATAGGCGTGACAGCTATATATATATATATACATCAGCCCATAAAATCGACATGAATTACACAAATTTCCGTAATACGACAGTGGTACATTTGACACTGTGTTCAACCTAAGGAAGTGTTAAATAGTTATAAGACCACTGTAGTAAGGATATAATCCATTCTTTTATCTGTTGATTGAGGTGTTCAGTACACTTCATTTATGGTCCGATATAAATTCAAACATCACAAGAATGTTTGCACAGATATGATTAATTGAAACTATGCACTCGAAATCATTCATTCCCCATTATTATCTCTGATGAGACTATCAAATACAACGCGCATAGAATGTAGAGCCTCAAGATGTACTCTCTGTACACTACAAGCAAAAGGGTGGATTCAACAGGAGATTTATGTTACGTTGGTAACTAACAAAGCAAACGTTAAAAGACATAATAGTTGATACGTCCCTCTACACTATCCGTCATAGTTTAAACACAATTTTAGGGAATTACTAAAAATTACGAGACAGTATCAGTTTTACAAATTGACCTAAAAATACAATTTATGTAGTAAATTGAAAGATTCCCGTAAAAAATGGAATATATTCCAGGAAAAAAGGCTAGAAGGAAGTGAAGTTCAACGTAAAGGCACCAAAGGCAGGTAACGAACCAGGACCGCGGGGACTAGAGAGGCAGTATCGCGCATTTCTATTTACGCGGCTAAAGCTGATATATTCAAACTTTTCACTGAATTAGTATAAGAAAACTACTTTTTGAATTTGTTTCAGTGGCAAACACATTTTGACTCGGAGATACAAAATCACCCTCTGTTTTGTTCCGGTTTCCAGAAATCGTGAGTGAGAAGACATATTAAGACTTTAGACGATTAGATTGATTGAAGTAAAAGTAGAGCTTCCTGAGAATTAACCACACAATCCCAGAAAGGTCTGTTGCCTCAGTAAACTGTAATGTTTTTTAATTTCACATAAGACACGTACTCCTAGACGATAACATAAACTCCAAATATCTGCAGAGTGCAGATTCTCCATTCTAGTAACACCAACTTGGAGGACGGCATCACTGGATGCATGCAATGGTCTAGGGTGGTACATTTGAAAAGAGAAGATAAAAGAAGACTGAGGGAGAGGTGCAGAGGTAGCTAACAAGTGTAAGTAATTTAAAATAAAAAATATAATAAACTAAGAGTTGACTCTAGACTGAGAGGTTACAATCACGGAATTTTATAGTACTATTATTATCCCCTTGCGTTCTGAGTGGAACAATAATAACACTATAGTGTTTCATACTAACAGTTACTTTGGGTGAATAGTAGTAAAAGCAAAGGGATGATTTCTCACAACTATACACGATAATGTCAAGAAGTGGTTATTCGACAGAAGTTGAACCCAAGAATCAAAGCTTAATGCTATCCATACTGCCGTTCTGACGCATGCATTTATGTGTCTTTGTGAAGTAGCGGACTTATGCCGTGCACTCGCATTCAGGGGGCTTATATTTCGGCTCTGGCTTTCAGGTAGTTTCTATTGATTTGAAGAAGTCATTCAAACCAGGTGGCCTTAGTAATGGAGCTTTGCGCTACAGATAGGTGTGATTCTCAAATGTAGGGTGGACTTGTTTGGCATGTTGGTTGAAACTTCTCCCAGTACCGTTTTTGTGAACGATTTTTTTATGAAGCTGTGTTACATGTTATCTGGATTGATGGAAACCCTAGTTTTTCGGCATGGCATGTTGGTGTCCGTGTTATGTAATCTGACTGTGGCGCACTTAGCATACCGGATGTAAGGTGTTGTGTTTCAGGAGCGATTTGTTGAAATATGGCTATGATGAGCAGGATGGAAAAAGTGGAAAGCAATGTCATCTACACAAAGAGCCTATTCAATGAAGACTTCGCATGGCTCAGGATACCCAAACTAAATAAAGTAATTAAGGACTGTTTTGGATTTTCGGGGTTTTCTTACAGAAAGTGTCTAAATTTGGAAAATTGCGCCGGTCATCGGTCCCCATGAAGTGTATTGCAGTTGAAGAAAATACCAAAGAAAATAAGTCCATCTTAATAACACTAAAACAGGTAATTCTGGAGGAGTAATTGGCTCAAAATGGTCATAAGATTACTTCGTTTGAAATCAATTTTATCGCTATTTCGTCACCATGCAAGTGAGTTCGTTATCACATGTCTTACTCATTACATATTAGAACAGTAAATTATCTGACGCGAACAGGTTCACAGAGTGAGGTGGTGAAAGGATCGTTGTTTTGAAATTTTGGGCCAATATTCCAAGAAACCTTCTTGTAGAGGGTGGTTGTTTTAGATAAATACTGCTTTACAACCTTCCGAATAGTCCGAAAGCAATTCTCGCTCCTTAAATACAGGCGGAAGATGTTCCGCTGCAAAACTCTGAGTTTTTTATCCAACCGGCCTTCTGAATGACATTCGATGGGAAATGAGAGGACTTCAGGCGAAATCAGGCCTGTTTGACTGCATACTGTAATTAGTCTAATAATTACGGAAAGCCTCACCAACACTGACCAAGTCCTCAGAAAAATCTCGCAGATTTAGACCCACTAGACTATCTCTTGGAGAAAGATCCCGACACTGTTCCATATAACCTAAGTGAAGCGGAAAACCTCACTGACCGCGTATGATTTCATTCCAACAGATTAGTGTTTGCAATGAACTAGACTCAATGCTCATTAAAACCATCAAAAGCTGGGTCCTGAATTACTATGACGTGACTAACGTGCCATGTGATAATAATAATGATCTATATTTTCATATAAACATAAATTTACATGAAAATGCATGCCATTTTTACAGACACGATCAAGTATGATATAATGACAAATAGTAGATTGTCTACAGGTTAATAATGTTTGAACAGCTAAATATTTGATTTATATTTAAATACACTCATTGTCTGACCCACGTCGTATCATTATTGAATTAAACAATAGTCCTCCAGGTTGAGCAGGAAAATCGACTTCGTTTCGTTTTCAACCCGTAGTTGTAGGCATACGATAGCCAACCAATATTGAGGTAAGTACAACGTTTACAAGGGATAGTAAGATTATCACTTTTTTTAAAGTTCAAATTGTTGAATTATATAGTACAAGCAATCGGAACAGATTCTTATAATTGTTAATTTGTAAATCTTCCACGAAGGTTTCCATCGAAGTTGAACGCTATTTCAGGAAGAGGAGAAAATCCTGCACAGCTACAAAGTGGTATAAAATGCAATCATGAATAATACACTATTGGAAGTATATTTACGAGAAGAATACAAGAATAAGCTATACAGTACTTGATATGATAGTGCACATTTGCAATGTATGATGCTAACCATATTGGTCTTACCGTAGAAAACTATGACGTTTTCTATGAAAATAAAGTTATTCTCAAACATGAGTGCTGTTGCTATGTTTTTTTACCATCAGAGCAACCGAACTTTATGCGAGAGAAGAGTGTGAATGAGAAAAAAAAGAAAAACAGAAGAGTAAATTTCAGCTTTACTAAAGGCCTAGGAAGTTGAGACAAAATAGAGTATAAAAGTAGTTAGGTAGAAGGATTATCGTGAAGTATATAAGTGACATTTTAGAGAGAAGTGGCTAGAAGGATTAGAACCTGTTGAGTATGGTGACCTGTAGGATGTCTGGCGAACTTGTGTATGGCCCATGGGATAGCATCTTGACAAGAAACTGAGCAGGCTTGTAGATGTTAGGAGCGAAAGCACCATTTTTTACAAGCTAAAACTGTACAGTTATTATTGTTCTAGTTTGCTTTTTTTTAAAATTTTTTATAAAGTCAATTTTTTATACTTTCAGTATCTAAACTCATGTTTAATTCTCGAGCTGTCAAAGAATGCATGTTGCTGTCTTACAGATCGGAGCGATTCACATTTGTGACCACTACCATATCTGCTGGTCAGCATGTGTCACCCTCCCTCCTTTATTGATATTAAGCTCTGAGACATTTTGAAATGACTGTAGTTGTAATATGGCATTGCTTTGAGTCCATCTCAATCATACAGTATGCCGCACGTTAACAGCTTTCATGACAAATGCTTCCCATCGGGTCGCCAGATATATCGATACCAAAGGGCATTCTTAGCAGTACCACCTTTACACGTGGATACATGTATATAAGTAGTTATTACTAACGTCTAGGAAATTGAGTTTCCCTTTAAAGTTTATGCAGTATGGAAATAGTTAGTATTACAGCAACTAAGTTATATTGTATTTAGCAGAGCGATTTGAGTAGTGGAACAATTAGTGACAAAGTTATGTAGAGTGATCGTGAGAGAAACAACTGGTTAGCAGAACTTGTTTTGCTAAATTTTCATGACCGATTTTTATATGGTTGCGTTATACATTGCAAAGTGACTCATCAACTTATATTGTGGAAAAAATGCTAATAGTTTTCTACATTATGAATTTTAGAGAGTCATGTCAAAATGAGTAACCGCTGACTAAAGGTAGTCATTTCAACACAAAAATAGTACAGCGTATTATACTACTAGTATATGTATATATGTAAAATATTAAAAGATATACTTGCTAATATAACTGTTTCTGGAAATAATTATACTGACTCAGCTTATTGAAGATTACAGGTGAGATAAAATCAGCGAGTTGGTTAAACGATTGCTGCACAGGTAGCAGTTAAAACGTCTTAAAAAGTAAAAGGTATAAAAGTTTCGAGTGCTAGAGCAAATTAGGTCATAATCTACAGAGTAGAGTGAAATGAATATTGATACGATTAGGGATAAAGGTAGGTTGAATGAACTTGAGGAAAATGGTTGGTTGCCTAGGCTTATTATTGCTAAGTTTTCATAACCACTTTTTATATGACATGCTTAAGACATTACAAAGTACCAGGTTGCTTGTATTATGGAAAAAACTTACAACCACTTTGGGATTATAAATAAATAAATAAAAAAATCTCATAGTACAGTACATGAGGGACGCCAGTTTTCAGGCATCATCAAATTGTTACAGAAATAGAACCATATAATTCAATCACAATTTACAGGCAGTAGCAGGATATGCCTTACATGTTCGCTGGAGATTATACATACACTTGGTAAATGTTAATCTCAGTAGTATAAAACAGCCTTTTCACTTATATGCAATCATTTCTGTGCACAGTTGGAAAAATCTGCTAGATTGTCAGTGAGTGCAACACATCAGGAAATACAGAAGTATTGTCTTCGCATTAACAAAAAAACCAGGTCTTTGGTGGATGGATTATAATGCCTGGGAAAAAAATTAAAGCTTGAAGTCAATCTCCATACATAACTTCCTTGTGTGCAGAATCCTTGAATTATAGTTCATTGATGTGTTATTTTGAAATCAGTGATATGTTTATCCCATTTGATCTGCAATGTCATTGTTGGGAGTAAATACATAAGCTTCAGACGCATTAATTAATGGATTTCTGCTGCTTGTGGGTATTTTCTTAGCGTGAGGGAGGTTTATAAATTTCAGCTGTTCTGACAGGAGTTGAGAATATTAACCGCTCAGCAACATTATGGATATTAGTTCATCACATTTTCTAAGGAAAGGTGGGTTGCAGTTGGTGAGGGATATATGGTGTCCAACGAGCGTACATCTGTCCATGCGATGTTGTGGTGAGTTATACCTTTTTCATGTTGTCGGTTTATGTCCATTTTATTCCACTTATTGTGTTGGGTAGTAGTTTGAC